CTACACTAGATAGAAAGTGATGTCATTCCTTGAGATGGAAACACAGGCAAAGAAACAGGTTTGAAGAGGAATGTAGGATTGGGGTAGGAAATCATGAGTCAGTTTTGGGCACACGGAGTTTGAGTGAGACACCGAGTGGAGACGTCGAGTAAGCATTAGCACAGTGATGGAACTCACAAAGGTCTGAAAACAAAGCAAGGACCAAATACTCAGAAAATATTTATTTTCAGCTCCACTGTGGTCCCTGTAAAAATTTCTTAATATTTCTTAATATTCCAAGTCAAAAGGCCTTCTCCACAGCCCTCCAACTTCAAAGGCAAGAAGCAGCCAGGAAAATTCCTATATTCTGATCTGAGAAAGGCTCCAAGCCAGTATGATATAATTATTGCCCTCTGAGACCAAGCTGGTTCTTGATGCTTTTGTTTGCCAAGTAACTGCGGGATGCCAGGCGCAGTCAGATTGCTAGGATCCGTCCAAGATGACTCTTTCCTCTCCGTTATAGATGGAGCAAAACGAAGAAGTTTATAGCCTGGGCCCTGGGGTAAGGTGAATTTATATTTGACTGTTGGATCTGCTACTCACTAGTTTGGTAATCTCAGGGAATTTTCTTATACTATTTGAGGCCAAGGTTCCTCAGTTGAAAATAAGCCTAACAATAATTCTCACCACGATGGCGTGTCATGAGGACCATGTGAATGGACTTGCTGGCGTAGCACTTGACAGGTGGTGTGGACTCAGCAAATGTTAGATATTGGTGCAATCATCCTTGGTCCTCCGCATTAGAGGTTTCTCAAACTCGTGGAATCTGGCCGTGAGAAACATCACACTTGTAGGACTAAGAGGTTAAAGAAACAGGACACCTACATTGTTTTTTCTAATTTGGGGCTACGGTCCTCAACATACACCCCTCCCTCCACGAGCCTTTATTTTCAGGGTCTGAGACTTAACCAGTCTCATCTCAGTAAAAAAGGAAGTGGAAAACAGAATGAAGATGGAGAATGCCCATTTTTCCCCACATGTGACCCCAACTGAAACTGGGGTTCTCTTTTGTGCTGTTAGGTGATTTTTCTCTGAAGAGCTGGTCAGGTGTTCCTTTACTATAATGCTGCTCTTTGAACGGGCTCCCTAAAGCCAGGAGCTTCCTAAAAAGGGAGGCTTTTTATGCATCCAGTTGGATTAAGCAAATGTAATCCAATTTTTCTTGCACTAAACCATACAAAATAAATCTTAAACAAATTTGAAAAAAATCAAATCATTTCTAATCTGTTGGAATGAATCCCCACGAGATCAAGCTAGCTCAAATGGAATGTGATCGAGGTAGGGAGACATAAAATGGCCTCAAACTGGAATCAGGCCCATTCTAATTATATTAGGTGAGTTCAGACCGGTTTAGATGAAGAGAAATGAGGCTGGTCCTGCAGAGGTTAAATGGAATCTAAAAAAGAAAAAAAAATTTTTTCCCAGCTCAAAACTGGCTCTAATTGATTTAAAGGGATTAAGACATTTCAAGTTGTATCAATCCATTTGCAGCTGGATTAGATAAATGGGAATGGGGCAGAGCTGACTTGCTCAGCTTGAACCAGCCAGACCAGATTCCAGTGTAAATGGAATCCAACTTCATCAACTTAGGTTAATTTCTGAGCTGTCTGGAAAAATCATGCTTCCAGAACTGGTGTCACTCAATGCATGTGCCCCAGTGGCAAAAACTACAAGTTGCCCGTCCGTATCCATTCTCCTGTTTTTCTTTACCACGAACAGAACTATTTATATGGTTGTGGGCAGCAACATATCTTGCTTTGAAAAAACCCACAAAAGGAGGGCCTGGGTGGTTCAGTCAGTTAAGCATCTGCCTTCAGCTCAGGTCATGATCCCAAAGTCCTGGGATGGAGCCCCACATCGGGCTCTCTGCTCAGCGGGGAGCCTGCTTCTCCCTCTCCCTCCTGCTCATGTTCGCTCTCTCTCACATAAATAAAATCTTTAAAAAATTTTAAAAACCCACAAAAACAGACAGACAAAAAAATACCAAATTTCCCACTCTTCCCTGAAGAGAAGGTGTGGCCAATGAAGGGGGGGTGGGTAGTTTCTGGGAAAGTTCCTTCCTATTTCTTGCTGCCTGAAATGTAGAGGAGATGGCTAGAGCCACTGTGCTCAGATGAAACCCATGAGTAAAGCTTGATGGTTGAATCTATCTCTAAGGATGGCAGAGCAAAAATATGGAAGGATCTGGGGTCCCTGAAAATAGGGTAGAGGTACCACTATCTGTTACAAAAGCTGTTAGCGCCCTTCCCAAATCTCCTCAACATTCACCAATCCTGCTCAAGGCTGTGGTCATAAGCACCTGTATTCTCTGCTTGAAGACCTCCTAGGGTCGTGGAAGCATAATTAAGATGGTCAGGGAACTAATACTCCTGGGGTCAGCTCTCATCCAGTTAATTCATCAATGTGCTAAATACACCTCCTCCTTACTCCTCAGACGGGACATCTCTGAAGTACGTTCTACACTCTTTCCCAGAGGTCATGGGCAGGATTGAGCCTCAGTTGTCACAGCACTAATTTGCTCACTAATATTCACTATCCTGGTTTCCTTCCCTTCTGTCACTCCACTGTTCCAAGTGAACAGGCTGCTTGCTCTCAAATCCTAGTCCGTGTCTGCTCACGGAGTAACCAAATGTAAGACACTGTCTCCAGATTATCTATGTTGGGACCTCTTCAGAACAGACAAAAATAAAACCCTCCAAAGAAACCACAGTTAATTGGGTTTTCTGTTATATACTGCTACAGCTCATCTTCTTTGATCCAGTTAGCAAGGAGATACTTCTTTAAGTTCAAATCCCTTTATGTCACTAGATCTTTTTCCAGTAAAGAACCATTGTTAAAAATCAAAAGCCAAAAGAGGAATTTAAAAGTCTTTTGATTGAATAAATTTCTGCTGACTGCTAGAAGAAATACTGAAAATTATATTTTAAATGCCTATATTTAGCAAATAAAAATTCAGTGAATAAATGGCCTCTACATTGCCAACTCTAAAGGAAATCTCAGTTTTCACTTGACCCATCCCCAGCATTTGATATGGTTGGTCACCCCCTCTTTTCCTGAAAATGTTTCTTTACTTAACCTATGGGTGACCACTCTCTTGATTCTTTCTCTGCCTCATTGGCTGATCCTTTTAAGTCTTCATTGCTGGTCCTCTCCATCTTGAGCTGAAGTCCCAGGGCTCAGTCCTTGTCCTGCTTCTCTTTTATATCCGTGGACACTCTCTGGATGATCTCATCCAATCCCATAATTTGAAGTAACATCCCTATGCTGATGGCTGTCAAATTAATAACTTTAGCCCCAACTTCCCCCTGAAATTGAGACTCAAAAGTAATTACTTAAGTTTGATCTGGTTGGCTGCTGGAGACAATTCAAATTTTACATGACCAAAAGCAGGTAAAACTCCTTTTTGCAGTCCTTACCTTAGTGGATGGCATTCCTTTCTTACAGTTGCCCAGGAGAAAAGTATATGAAACTCTCCTAAATTCCTCATTTCCTGGAGCACTCTGCTTCATCAGTCAACCCTCTCAACTCCGTGTTTGTTTGTTTGTTTGTTTGTTTGTTTATTTATTTATTTATTTATTTATTTTTGAGAGAGAGAGAGAGCACGAGCTGGGGTAGGGGGAGGAGGTGGGCAGAGGGAGAGAGAGATAGAGAATCCCAAGCAGGCTCCACACTCAGCATGGAACCTGACATGGGGCTCCATCTCATGACCCTGAGATCATGACCTGAGCTGAAATCAAGAGTCAGATGCCCAAGCGACTGAGCTGCCCCTCCGTCAACTCTACATTTAAATGCCTCTAGAATCGGGTCTCTTTTCATCACTTCCCTTACTGTGACTCTAGTATAAACAAACTATCATCATTTCCTGTTTGAACTGTTGCAGTTGCCTCCCATTTGGTCTCCCTGAATCCATGCTTGCCACGGACACCTTATTCTTCAAACAGTAATCGAAGTGATCCGTCCAAAATAAAAGTTAAATCACATCAATACCCTGTTCAGATTCTCGAGTGTGTTTCTGTTTGAACCTAAGTCTCCACCTAAAAGGCCCAGTGTACTAACTTCCAGATATTTCTGTGACTTCATCATCTGTCACTTACCCCGTGATTCCCTCTGCTCCAGCCTCACTTACCTCCACGATGGTCCTTGAACATACCACGAATGCAGCTCCTCAGGCCTTTCATTTACCATACCCTCCATAGGGAATGCCCTTCCCCCAGATACCGATATGGCTCCCTCCCTTGCTTCCTTAATCTCCCCTCAAATGTCACCTTATTAGAGAGGCCCCTCCCCAACCAACTTTTCTCCAATGGCACACCTCTCTCTCCTTTCCATCCTCGTTCTTCAAAATACTTATTACCACCTGACTTGTTGCATATTTACTCGTGGACTGTCTGCCTCAACTAGACTGAAAGCCTACGAAGAGCAGGGATTTTTTCTGTCTCATTCACTGCACATCCCTGGCACCTGGATAAATGCCTTGGACACTGTAGGGACACCATCAATATGTTCAATGTGTGAATGAATTACAATTAACTTTTTATCGAAAAACTATTCTTGACCATTCAAATATCTGATTGGGTATGGTATATCTGAACATCTGAAGGAAAAAAGAATGGAATCTTCAAAGTGTCTGTTAACAGTTGTTCTCTTCATTCATCAGAGAACTATCATCTCTCAAGAAGAGGCCCAATGGGAGCTGATGTGTGGCTATCACGTTCCCAAGGCTTTGCTCCATGGAGGACAAAAAACTAAGTAAAAGGCAAATCCCTCCTTTGCTAGAACTGCTTTTTCCATTTTATTCAAGGTGTTACCTCAAAAACAGACAGCTTTCAATGTGCTTCCTCAATTATTTAGCTAAGATGCCAAAGGAACTCAATTACTTCTAAAATGTATTGAGACAACCCAGGAACGAGGAGATGACAGGAAAAGTCAGTAACATGAAGTGTGTGCTAATGTTGCTTTTTATTTCATGAAACTGGAATTATTGCAAACATCAATTTCAGGCACATTTTATGTAGACATTAAAACAAAAAAGCAACAAGGTATGTAAAACATATGCACACACGAATAGTTACCACCAGAGAAGAAAGGAATTCAAAGAAAGATTAAAATATTCTTTGACCAATGGAGATATTGAGAAACCACATACCCTAAAGTGAAAATATGGAATAAAAGCAAACAGTACACATCGGCTTTTTACCCTTCAAAATTTAATCAACAGAAGTTAATGATATCATATGAAAGGTTATTGAATATGCTAAGTCTAATACTTAAACGCTCTTCCATCTTTTGCCTTCCAAATCAGAGTTCTAATTAGATTCACAATCTTACCTTGTTGAACTCTGCACCCACACCTCTGAATTCTGTTTATTTCTTAGTCAAATAGAGTTCTCCTAGAAATCCGGGACCAGGATCAGAGATAGAATCATCCACTCCCGGGAGAAATGGAGGAGGTGTTTGCACTGAAAGGCCTCTAATTCTCAGATTCTCTGCCTAATATGAACCACTTAATAGTCTACACTGACGTTTCAAAGCTTGAGAAAGGGAATGTTGTATAACCCTGGACTTCATTCTGGTTGTTTCCTATAAGCAGAGAACAAGATAAGAAATGGGCCCCTCGCGCTGAAACAGGTACACAGATATCTGTATCTACCGTCTACTCCAAGCTAATGACGCGAGGGCTGTGGGAAGTGAATTAGGACTATTGCTTTGATTGAAAAGGCCATGCTACAAAGTGTTTGTCTTTATCCTTACCTGTAATTTAGGTAATTTAGAATAGATAATGGTTAATTTTAGCTTTTGAGAATAAACATTCAGCTGCATAAAAGACATATCTTTATAAGGTAAACATCTTCAGTAGTTTCTCCTTTTAAAAATAGTTTTGATGGACTTCTGATGCCCCTAAACATTAGTGCTACCAGTTCCAGCCGTTATTTTCAGACACTGGCTCAGGGGCCGCTGAAATAGCAGATTATCTCTTTGCCGGCAAAATATCAGAGCTATTATTCAGTCCTTGTAAGGTTTCACTAAACCACTGCTTCTCAGATCTTACCTTGCCTCTGAATCACCTGAAAAGCTACTTAAACTATGCTGAGTGGCACAGCCAGAGTGTCTGATTCAGTCAGGGGCGGGGTTGAGAATCCGTATTTTTTTTTTTTTAAGATTTATTTATTTATTTTGAGAGAGCGAGAATGAGAGAGAGAGAGAGAGTACATGAGTGGGGGAGGGTCCGAGGGAGAAGCAGGCTCCCCGCCGAGCGGGGAGCCCGATGCGGGACTCGATCCCGGGACTCCAGGATCACGACCTGAGCCGAAGGCAGTCGCTCAACCGACCGAGCCACCCAGGCGCCCTCATTCTGAGTTTTTTTTTTTTTTTAAGATTTTTATTTATTTATTGAGAGAGATTGTGATAGAGAGAGAGTACATGAGTGGGGGAGGGTCCGAGGGAGAAGCAGGCTCCCCGCCGAGCGGGGAGCCCGATGCGGGACTCGATCCCGGGACTCCAGGATCACGACCTGAGCCGAAGGCAGTCGCTCAACCGACCGAGCCACCCAGGCGCCCTCATTCTGAGTTTTTTTTTTTTTTTAAGATTTTTATTTATTTATTGAGAGAGATTGTGATAGAGAGAGAGTACATGAGTGGGGGAGGGTCCGAGGGAGAAGCAGGCTCCCCGCCGAGCGGGGAGCCCGATGCGGGACTCGATCCCGGGACTCCAGGATCACGACCTGAGCCGAAGGCAGTCGCTCAACCGACCGAGCCACCCAGGCGCCCTCATTCTGAGTTTTTTTTTTTTTTTAAGATTTTTATTTATTTATTGAGAGAGATTGTGATAGAGAGAGAGCACATGAGTGGGGGAGGGTCCGAGGGAGAAGCAGGCTCCCCGCCGAGCGGGGAGCCCGATGCGGGACTCGATCCCGGGACTCCGGGATCGTGACCCGAGCCGAAGGCAGCCGCCCAACCGACTGAGCCACCCAGGCGCCCCGAGAATCCGTATTTTTAAAGAGCTCCCAGGCCATGTTGGTGCTGCTCGTTTAGGGACCGCCATTTTGAGAACCGCGGCTTTCAACTATTAAATTTGTATGTTCTTTAAAGAGCAATGGAAGCTTAGAATCAGGCCGTATGTGGAACTTACTAAACTCTCTCCAAGGCTGTGTCCTGAAGACAGTTCTTAAGAAAATCCACCTTTTATTTCCTTCTTTAAGAGCTACAGAAGTGCCCAGGCAGCTAACGGGTCCTTCCCACTACTTGCTTAGCATTCCCGTTGGCCACGCCGGGCCAGGGCGTCTTTCCTCCTTCTCCCCAGAAGGCCTGCAGTCTCTTCTGCGTCCCCAGATGCCGTGGATCTGGAAGCCTCCCCAGGACAGGACCCATGCCTCTGGGGAACCAAAAGCCACAGCTACATGTCTCTCCCCAGTAGGTCTATCTCATCCAGGAGGAAGTCCATGTCCTCCCGGCTCACTTGGGGGCTGATCACCACCTGGCGGAAGAAGTTGACCTTCCCGCGGTGGGGCTGGTAGCCCAGCATCAGGCTTCCCTTCTTCATCATGCGCTCCTTAATGGTCGGGGCCACCTGCGCCGGGCGAGAGGAGGGAGGCGATGAAAGACCAGAGCATATTCTGGCTGCATTCCAACCACTCACGTGATACCCACTGCCATCCACTGCGGCTCCCGCTCCCTTGCACACATCCAGCTCGGTATGAGTAACAATCTACTGAGAACTCACGGCATAGGAGGACTGATCCAAGGGCTTTAGATAAATTTAATTCATCTAATCTTCACAGTAACTTCATGAGGGAGATACAAATACAAATCTATGAATGAAGAGATTGAGGTGCAAAGAGATCAGACAGTCTGAGGTCCCACGTTCGGTAAAAGTGAGCGAGAGAGCAGGCAGCCTCACCCAAGCACACACTCTGAAACCTAAATCATTATGCAGTGCTGTCTCCTTCAAAACAGATCAGGGGTCCTCAGGGAGCACAGATGTAAAAGTGTCAAATGGTACATTCCCAACTTTGTCTGAACTAAAAACTGTTCCCGTTCAGGCATCTTAAGTAAAGAAAATCAGTCTTGGATGGGGAAAAAAAAAACAAATGCACAAAAGAACAGCCTTGCATTGATAGTCTACCAAGGAAAACACTCATATGGATATTATGCGCAGTTCTGTTTTGAAGACTAATAGTTTATTACTTTATTAATAGGATATGTGACACACAGACCCTCTTAATTTTGAAGAGGTGTAAAGGTAGGAATAAAATAGGAAGCTCGTATTTTATAGATTTGTAGATAACAGGGAGAGAATGGGACCTGATAACCCAAATGCATAAATTTTTCTAAAAGTTTAATGTTCGAGGAAATTACTCCCAATTTAAGAACCACCGGGGAACATCAGTCTGTTTTCATATCTGTAGTGTGACCACCGAAGAATTAGGTTATAAATTTTAAAATAGTGGAGCTGATTTTTGAAATACCAAATTAAAAAAATTCAGAGTGCAGTCTTCCTGGCTTGGAAAGGCAAGCAAAGTTTTCCATTTTCCCTTTATTTTAACTCTTTCAAAATTTCTGAGTGTGTCCTATGTGAACATATAATGAGACTAGAATGAGTTTCTGTCCTCATCTTCTCAGAAAGATGAGACTTAGTTAATCCAGAGGGAAGACTGCATACGTAAGTAACATCAGCCATGATGTGCTTTGAAATTCCTTAGGTGAGGGGCATACATCTCAGTTCCCACACGCCCATCTTGGGGTGTGACCATCCCACACCTCTCTATCTTTTAAACATACCTATGCTTTGCCAGGTACCCCCCTGAAAACAAGTCAAACTAAAAAAAAAAAGAAAAGAAAACAAGTCAAACTACTTCATCTGCCACTCAACATAATCTTGATCTGTTGCAAAGCTTATGGAAAAAACTGGGCGTTTTAGACCTCTAGAGGTGTGATGTGCTGGACTGAGCCACAGAGCCTTCTCAAGGGATGTACGAGGATAATTTTAACTAAGTACTTTTTTCTCTTATGTGCTAATTTTAGAACCTAAATCTTGCCTAACGTGGACTACACTAGGCCTACAACAGCAAAAACAAACATCCATTAAGCACAACCACATTGCCACTCTAGCAAAGTATTGGAGTTCTCTCACCGATAATGAGACATAGAAAATAAAATCTATGAGCATAAAAGAAAAAAAAAATGTAGAAAAAGAAGATGAAGTTAGAAGTCAGTTTGGTGAAAAAAAAAAAAAAAAGACCAACAAGTTCTGTAGATTTCTGGAAACACGTTACAAATTTTATTCTGAGCTCTTTAGAGACTAGAAAAGCAGGGTTAAATAATCATCTCCAATCTCCAAGCAAAATTTAGTGACAAGTGTTTCGTGGATGGGAAAAGGAAGCAAGTAGGTAAGTCTTTACAAAACTGAGCTCCATGCATATCTGTCTGAAACCCTTATTTTTGAATGTTCCAAGCATCCGCTAAGTTTCCTTCCAAAGCTCTATATTCAGATATCATTTGTTTTTGGAATCATAAAAATCGAGTGAAATGATACACGAGCAAATGAAGGGTGAGTGCAAAAAGAGACTGTTTTCCATAAAACTAAGTTCAATTCCTCGGAAAGACTGGATAAAGGGGGGACTGCTAAACATCGCTGCAAGTTAGGTGAGGGAAGAGAACTGGCAAAGCCTTCAAGCAGAATCTAGAGTCCAGACTGGTTCTGCACATATGGATGCCAAGCCCTCACTCTGCTCACAGAAACCTGGGCTGGATTGGATAGATGATTCCTGAAGAGTGTAGTTACCGCAAGACCAGTAGAGACCCTTTGATCATCAGACCTCTACTCAAGAAAAGCCTCACTTACTTTTAGAAAGCATTTAGAAGTCCTCACTTGCTGGGGAAAGAAAAACAAACAACAGCAACTTTCCACCAAAAGATGGGGAAATAAACGCACATAGATATATTTTAAGTTAAAATGTTTCATGATGTGTGCATCACATTTTTTTCTAGGATTATTTGCTTTAACTGACCGTGGGGAGGAGGGGTTCTGGTGCGAATATGGGTGTGAAGGGTGCATGTGAACATGTGTGTGTGTATGCACAAACAAATTTGATTCCAGCTCATAAAGTGTCAGAGACTCACATGAGGCACTGTGTATGCATATAAACTTCAAACCCACCATTTGTCATGCACTGTTCTTAAAATCTTCCTATTTTGTCACAAAGCAAAGCGGAACCATGGTTTGACTTAGGCTCGTGACAAAGGCACATTTAATTTTAATTCAAAGAACAAGTGGGCTCTTGAAGGTAAACTGAAGGTCTGAGAGAAAAACACAAGAGTGTCATTGCTGATACATATAGGAAGACCTGGTTCACATAAGACAAATGTCTGCCCAGGAGAGTCACACAGTATCAAATTTAGAGCTTACAGATTGTGCTTCTGCAAACTTTTGTTTTGTTTTGTTTTAATAAAAATTCCTTTCATATTCATCTCCATCTTCTTCTAGGTACCCAGGGTATAACCGGCTCTGGATTATAGTCAATTTTAAATTCAAAACAGGCATGTGCTTGGCTCAAGCCTAATTTGCATTGTCTATTCCTGTTTACTTTTCAATAACCCTATTTCCCCCTCCCCAAATGGTATTTTGTGCCTTACCTCGGAGACCATTAGAAATTTGATTCCAGCTCATAAAGTGTCAGAGACTCACGTGAGGCAATTATCAAAATGAATCTGTCAGGTTTGCATTTCTTGTAAGCAAACCAAAAATATTTTCTAATGGGAGCAAGAAAGATAAAAGAGGACACCTCGGACATTTTAATATAAAGATATTTTTGATCTTTAAAATTCTTGCTCTTGTAGAATGTGCTTCCATGGCGAAACACATGGCATGGGAACCAATCTTCTAAGCCAAATTTTGCCACTGACTTTCAAAAATTATGAATAAATGACTACACATCTATGGGACTCAGAGAACAAACTAAGCAAGGCTTTAGCAGGACAACACATATCTTATTTATGTGTCCATGAATATATGGATCATAGAGGTAATTACTCCTAGGCAAGAGAGGAAGACCTCTTTAATCTATGAATCCTTCATGGGAAAAGCAAGCCATAAGCCACACCAGGCTGATATTCACTAAATCTCCATCACAAATTACAATTGTCATAGTAGTACTGATTCTTGCTGTTAACAAATATTTTACCAACCCTTTACAATTTGCAATGAGCTTTCACATATCTGATTCCCACGAACTCAGGTTAAAGCTTGTTTGAAAGGAACCCATGCTTGCAATTTAGGGACCAAGAATGTTCTCATTAACAGCCAGCTTATCACATTTGCAGCTAAAAAATCAACCATTTTCTTGTTCTAAAACTCCAGGCACAATCCAGTGCTGGGTAACCTGGATATTCTCTTTTGCTGATCGAAGCAGAGAAACAGTCCTAATCCGACAGGATGGAATATTCACAGGGCAAAGAAAATATGCACAAACTAAATGTAAGTATCTGAATATCGCCCCTAAATGGAGCATGCATGGAGGAAAGCAATTTGGCAGGAGTGAGATTGCTTTCCAGCTCTCAATTATTTTACTGCTGGTTTTCCTTCAAATTGTAAATCAAATTCTTTTCGCATGCCTCAGTGCCCTGGTCCCTGCATCTTAAGTGGGGGAAGATCCTGACATTTCTGTTTGGTTGCACAGAAACTTAACCGACACATTTCTGTAGGATTGCTGTCGCACTCCCACCTAAAATTATGTTCCAGCCATGATTTAGTCATTTAAACAGAATTTTGTTGTCACACTCCTGCAGCATAAAATAGCATTTTATACTTAAAAGTTGCTTAAACCCAAGGGAAAACAAAACAAAACAAAACAAAACTAGCTCATTCTGGCCAAGTACAGTGATTTGATAACAAGGAACTGACTGGACACCAGCATAGCCTTTCATGAAAATAAAATTTTAATGTCCATAAAATGGAATTTCTTCTTAAATATGTGTAACAGATTCAAGGTTGACAACAACACTTTTGTTTTCAATATGCAGAGTGTTTCTCAAACTTTCTGTGAGGAAGTTTATTTTTTCCAGTGCATCACAGAAATATTTTCGTGAACTATGATAAAGGTGAAGTGTTGATTGAAAAAAGGAATTACTAAATAAAAATGAAGTGAAAAAGAATAATTACAAGCCCATTTTTAGAAAATTTTAAATTCAGCGGTAAAGTTAATCTGCTAAATTGTCATATAAGTTTCTGAACAGTAGCCCTTGAGTTCCAAAATTTACTTATTGCAGACTGGTAATATTCAGTTTATGGATCTGCATGGGGCTGGAGACCACATTTTGAGGATTGCTGCTCTGTTTGAACTCCCTTGGCTCCTTGTGGGTGTATATTATTTTAATTATGAATCTTGATGTTATCTTGCATATTTATTTACGCTTATTGCCATGGTCTCCATACCACTTTGAATGGTGTCTTGTATTCCATCATACGACGATGCCTTAGTTTACCTAAATCATTTCCCCATTGTTAAAGCTTGGACCTGCTTCAGTTACAATGGCATTTCAGTGAAACCATGGAACCAATCATGAAACCTC